CACACACACAGAGAGAGAGAGAGAGAGAGAGAGAGAGAGAGAGAGAGAGAGAGAGAGAGAGAGAGAGAGAGAGAGAGAGAGACAGAGAGAGAGAGTTCTTTCAGAGTGGACTGCAGGCCGAGAGTTCTTTCAGTGGACTGCGGGCCGAACTGTACTTCAGCCTTCAGCTTCCGGGACTCAGCAGGCACTTTTTCCCAATGACCCATCACGGATACCGGGGTAGACCGTGAGACAACTTAGCAGGTTCTAACAGAAAATGGCCAACATCCCACGGCGCACTACGTTTCGGGGGACTGCCGTGGCCGCCGGGAACATAGTGTAAGCCTAGCACTAGACGTTACCTTCGAGCACAGTCAGACATCCTGGCCCTCACTCTCTGAGCCTTTTCTCCAAACACAAATGTTGGTATGTTTTCCTTTTCCCCTACCTGTGTCTCACCAGTAAACAATACTTTCTTCGATCTGTTAGGCGTGAAGCCCGTTTCTGGTGTCCCCCACCTGTTAATGCCACATGTCAAATTTCCGCCTGCACCACTTTAACGGTTGATGTTCGAAATTGTCATGCCTTTGCGAATATGTCTCTCTTATAACCTGCACGATGTAATCTTCGTTGAAGCATTAGTGTGATTCATGAGTTAAATGAAGTTGACAAAGCTTGTAGCGACCAATCCCCTATCCCCTCTCGGTCCTACCAGTTTCGGTCTTCCCCTACGAGGTGTGTTTTCAAAATCTTCCCGATCACAACACTTATGTAAATATTACCAAACTGTAGATCCTCCTAAAGTAGCTATCGCACAATTCTTCAACCATACCGATGTAACTGAAACATTAATTCCTTGTGCTCACCTGTCAATTCTTTTGCCGAGCAAGCCATCGTCTGCTACGCACGGGACCGGTGTAAACACAGCACTTGACGTCACCAAGGCGGTGAAAAAGTACATCCCAAAATTATATAATCTGACAAAATATCACGCCCAAATGTTTAATGGTTTACAACGAGTGATTTGTTTTCGGTAATCAAAGTCGATTAGGTATCTGCAAATGTGATTGTGGCACTACTCTTGGCACGCCAGGTTAAAGTGTGGTCGAAGCAACATCAGCTTCTTTCGGATCTTGGGATCGAGGTTTCCTGAAAATGTATTTACCTAGGGTTCACGAGAACAGCCCACATACCCACTCGTATCCATATTATTTTAAAAACAATTAAAAACACCCTGGATTTAGTTCAAACAGTATTTATCTGAAAAATCGTGTTGCCAAGAGTCCTTCGTATTCATAAGCAAAGCTGTAAGTTTTAAAATTAAAAACAACAATAAATAAAACACACCATCCCCCGATTCATCATGTTTTAGACCTGTAGAGTTAGTAGAGTAGCATGGTGGTATCAGTGTTCGCTCATCAAGCAAGAAATACCTGGTTCGATTCCCATGGGTAAACTGAGTGAAACCAATTTTCTTGATATTCCCCGCCCTGCTCATCAAACAAGAAATACCTGGTTCGATTCCCATGGGTAAACTGAGTGAAACCAATATTCTTGATATTCCCCGCCCTGCTCATCAAACAAGAAATACCTGGTTCGATTCCCATGGGTAAACTGAGTGAAACCAATATTCTTGACATTCCCCGCCGTGCTCATCAAGCAAGAAATACCTGGTTCGATTCCCATGGGTAAACTGAGTGAAACCAATATTCTTGATATTCCCCGCCGTGCTCATCAAGCAAGAAATACCTGGTTCGATTCCCATGGGTAAACTGAGTGAAACAAATATTTTGATATTCCCCGCCCTGCTCATCAAACAAGAAATACCTGGTTCGATTCCCATGGGTAAACTGAGTGAAACCAATATTTTGATATTCCCCGCCCTGCTCATCAAGCAAGAAATACCTGGTTCGATTCCCATGGGTAAACGCCGAAACCAATTGATAAGCAATATTCTTTCATATTCCCATGGGTAAACTGCATCATCAAGCAAGAAATACCTGGTTCGATTCCATGGGTAAACTGAGTGAAACCAATATTCTTGATATTCCCCGCCGTGCTCATCAAGCAAGAAATACCTGGTTCGATTCCCATGGGTAAACTGAGTGAAACCAATATTCTTGACATTCCCCGCCCTGCTCATCAAGCAAGAAATACCTGGTTCGATTCCCATGGGTAAACTGAGTGAAACCAATATTCTTGACATTCCCCGCCGTGCTCATCAAGCAAGAAATACCTGGTTCGATTCCCATGGGTAAACTGAGTGGAGTGAAACCAATATTCTTGACATTCACCGCCGTGCTCATCAAGCAGGAAATACCTGGTTCGATTCCCATGGGTAAACTGAGTGAAACCAATATTCTTGACATTCCCCGCCGTGCTCATCAAGCAAGAAATACCTGGTTCGATTCCCATGGGTAAACTGAGTGAAACCAATATTCTTGATATTCCCCGCCCTGCTCATCAAGCAAGAAATACCTGGTTCGATTCCCATGGGTAAACTGAGTGAAACCAATATTCTTGATATTCCCCGCCCTGCTCATCAAGCAAGAAATACCTGGTTCGATTCCAATGGGTAAACTGAGTGAAACCAATATTCTTGATATTCCCCGCCCTGCTCATCAAGCAAGAAATACCTGGTTCGATTCCAATGGGTAAACTGAGTGAAACCAATATTTTGATATTCCCCGCCATGCTCATCAAGCAAGAAATACCTGGTTCGATTCCCATGGGTAAACTGAGTGAAACCAATATTCTTGATATTCCCCGCCCTGCTCACCAAGCAAGAAATATCTGGTTCGATGGGTAAACTGAGTGAAACCAATTAACCATTCTTGATATTCCCCGCCCTGCTCACCAAGCAAGATATATCTGGTTCGATTCCCATGGGTAAACTGAGTGAAACCAATATTTTGATATTGCCCGCCGTGCTCATCAAGCAAGAAATACCTGTTTCGATTACCATGGCTACATTGAGTGAAACCAATATTCTTGATATTCCCCGCCGTGCTCATCAAGCAGGAAATACCTGGTTCGATTCCCATGGCCACATTGAGTGAAACCAATATTCTTAACATTCCCCGCCGTGCTCATCAAGCAGGAGATACCTGGTTCGATTCCCATGTAGAAACTGAATGAAACCAATATTCTTGACATTCCCCGCCCTGCTCATCAAGCAAGAAATACCTGGTTCGATTCCCATTTGTAAACTGAGTGAAACCAATATTCTTGACATTCCCCGCCCTGCTCATCAAGCAAGAAATACCTGGTTCGATTCCCATTGGTAAATTGAACCCTTTAGCCACTAGGCTACCCCACCGCCCCTCTCTGTCAGCGAACCCTTTAACCACTAGGCTACCCCACCGCCCCTCTCTGTCAGCGAACCCTTTAGCCACTAGGCTACCCCACCGCCCCTCTCTGTCAGCGAACCCTTTAGCTACTAGGCTATCCCACCGCCCCTCTCTGTCAGCGAACCCTTTAACCACTAGGCTACCCCACCGCCCCTCTCTGTCAGCGAACCCTTTAGCTACTAGGCTACCCCACCGCCCCCTCTCTGTCAGCGAACCCTTTAGCCACTAGGCTACCCCACCGCCCCCTCTCTGTCAGCGAACCCTTTAGCCACTAGGCTACCCCACCGCCCCTCTCTGTCAGCGAACCCTTTAGCCACTAGGCTACCCCACCGCCCCTCTCTGTCAGCGAACCCTTTAGCCACTAGGCTACCCCACCGCCCCTCTCTGTCAGCGAACCCTTTAGCCACTAGGCTACCCCACCGCCCCTTTCTGTCAGCGAACCCACCATAGACATGACTATTTTCAACCAAATTAAACAAGTGATAGAAATCGCCTGTCTCCTGCAAGGGGTAAGTGGCCGTGTTATCTGGTATGATAGATTCTTGACGTCCTGTTGTTCGCAGCTCACAGATGTAGGTAAAGTACTTTAGTCACGCGAGATCTCGCACACTGATTCCCGTAGATTGTGTGATGAGTAGCAGATGCCCTTACAGATAACGTGTCCGCCAAGTGACCAATTATTAGGACGATATACATGACTACAAAACATTGTTTTTATATTTTCGAAATGTGAATTAACTGTCTACTTAAACTGCCCGTGGATGTATCTGCATGTAATGTCTTTAACGTTTCTCAAAATAACATTGAAAAATGTTGAAATCTGTGTCCAAAGAGCAACCGGTTGGAGTGGTGCCCGGGCAACATCAGAATCGTACGATAAAGTCCGTTTTTAATAAAGTTACCTGTCAATATAGTTTTTTTGGTCGCTTTTATTTTATTTTTCAACGTCGTGTTCAACAATACTTAAGTTTTATCTATAATCCGTTTGGCTCAAAATCGGACCGATGAATTGCAATCTAACTCGAAAACAACTAAACATAGGATACTCAATGAAGCACTAATTATAATCATAACATCAGACCAACTCTGTGATTGCGGAATTTATGACCTAAAATAAAAAAGTTGTTTAACAAACTATCATTTAAATTTTGACAGTTCACTATTTGTTACGAGGGAGGACTGCAAAGGGAGGAACAGCCAGGTGTACGCCGAGCACGTGCACAAGTGCCGACAAAGTCATTGATTCATTAACCTGTGCTGTGCCGTCTCCATCCTTTCTCGCACACTTTGCTGTTCCTCTCTTTGCACCCCTCCCTCGTAACAAATAGTGAACTGTGTCAAGATGTTAATGATAGTTTGTTCAACAACCTTTTTATTTTTAGGACATAAATTCGGAAAACAAATCACAGAGTTGGTGTGATGTTTTGATTATGATCAGCGTTTCATTGAGTAGTAGTGTTCGAGTTAGATTGCAATTAATCGGTCCGATTTTGAGCCCAACGGACTATAGTTGTGTCAGCTTAAGGTGATACAAGTCGTGGACGGTCACCACGATCATATTACAGTGGGGCGACTGTAGGAATTGCATCACTGCCCCCATGCTGATCTCAACGGCCATTTTGATAAATGGATAACCGTAGCTGAATAGCTGAATAAAAACGTGAATCTATGTCCACTTCATCAGATATTTATTCAACAGTTGTGCAACGTGTTTAAAATATATGCATTTATTTCCTTAGTCCGCAGTATTTTGTCCTGAAAAGTATATATATTTTGTTTTCTTGTTTCGTATTCACCAATGCTGAACTTCTTCATTAACCGTCTTTATTATTGAATTAAATAAGTTCAAAACTTCACCCGAGAAACTAAAATCGTGCTAGCGAAAAGGGGAGTGTGCGATGAAGGAAAATAGTTTTTTGTTCAATGTTCAGCATTTTATGCAGATGGCGGAACATAACGTTGACTTTCATAAGCGACTAGGGGATCGTGTTGATAGGATCCAATGAAAGATGGAAGAATTGTCACGTGATCATGCACATAGAAAGTGACGACGTTTTTCACAAGAAGTAGGGGTCTTCCATGTCCCACAGTGGGTTGTTGTACGAGTTATCGAATCTCTTGTTCCAGCTTCCCCGTTTGCCGATATTGCACCTGAAATATACAAAGAATTATGAGATTATGTTAACGGGACATAATTTGATGTTAACAAGACGTAAAGATAGGGTAAAGAGGCAACATTGTCATTAAAGTTTATACCGTTTTAGTAATCACTGTTCGAAACCACGCACGCCTATAGACGCTGGCCCGACAGTGGCACTATATAAGACCATGTTTCCTCCGTCCGTCACTAGTACTTCATTTCCAGACATGGTTAGACATGACAAAGACCTTTGATATGAAATGTCATATACTGGAGATGATAGTACCGTATTTGCGATGCGAGTACCGATCTCTAATAGAACCAAGTCTCTAATAGACGGAGGTATGGTCATCGTGATGCTCTTGAAATCAGCTTCACCCCCAAATCACCTCACGTCATTCTCACTAAATTTCTTAATTTACACAGGTGCCTCCAACATTGCCTTTTTAAAGCGTTTTCTTGTTTACAGATCATCGTCATAGAGATTGCAGAGTGAGCCGCTAAACAATGCTCACGTCCGCACGCCCGTACACAGCAACATAGATATGGGTTACTTACGGTATGGACTTCTTGCTCGGTTTACAGTCGGAGACACACTTCCTGTAAACGTCACAGCAGTAGGAGGGTTCTTTATCGCCCAGCTGGCCGTTCTCGTACGCCCTCTTACACACAAACAACCCGCGCATGCAGCCCACCATACACCCCTCGCTACGGCCCACCGTCAACACGGCTACCAGCAGGAACACCAACAACGCTTGTATGTACAGCTTCATCACTGAAACATAGAACAGGTAGAAATACAGGTGGGTGTTTCAGGAACACCAACAACGCTTGTATGGACAGCTTTCATCAGGTAGAAATAAGGTGGGCGTTTCAGGAACACCATCAACGCTTGAAACATGAAACATAGAACAGGTAGAAATACAGATGGGTGTTTCAGGAACACCAACAACGCTTGTTTGTACAGCTTCATCACTGAAACATAGAACAGGTAGAAATACAGGTGGTGTTTCAGGAACACCAACAACGCTTGTATGGACAGCTTCATCACTGAAATAGAACAGGTAGAAATACAGGTGGGTGTTTCAGGAACACATACAGGTAAAAATGCTAGGAACACCACCAACGCTGAAACAGATTGGAAGACATGATGGTCATTGATCACAATTAGGTACGGTAAGTGGTGAAGGTTCGGAGAGGAAACGCTTTTTGTCGCAGGTTCAAAGTAGGAAATCTGAGATGCGTGTAGCACTGGGTCCGAGAGACGTGGGAAAGGACGTGTTGAAGAAAGCCTGCCTGTGTATAGTGAGAGGAAGTGAAAAGTGTTTTCCACCGTAACATAAAGATGCCTTATTGGAACCTAAATAATCGTTAATAACACACGTAATCACTAAAACAACTGAATGGTGAGATTTTAGTGCTACCGTTCTTTTTTTTTTATGACTCCAGATCCTATATTCATTCGTATTTAAATAATGAGGCTATTTATGAAAACAAATTTATTCCTAAACCATGCTCCAAGTAAGTCATTCACCGGTGGAGTCAGCGTTTTAAAATATATTTGGGTTTAGACAATACGTCAGTCACTGAAATAAAAGTGGGAAATAGATTTCTTCTGACACTGTTTATTACATGTATTCGGGTGTTGATTTGTGTTAGTAGTACCTCAGTCCAGTTCTGTTGAGTTCCGGTCATGTGCGATGTATCGTCATATTCAGAAATTTGAAATACATATGTATACTTGAATAGTTTACCACAAGTTTCTTTTAAATTTTACAGCACCTGAAGAAACTGTTTTATCTATTTTCGAAAAGTAAACGGTTAAAACAGCGAATTTATAATCGACAGAAACATTCAAATAGCGTATTTGGACGATACCTATATTCGTTTCGCTAGACAGCATCAGACCACGGCACTGACATTATCAGAGGTAGGGGCGGTGGGGTAACCAAGTGGTTAAAGCGTTCGCTCGTCGTGCCGAAGACCCGGGTTCGATTCCCCACAAGGGTACAATGTGTGAAGACCATTTCTGGTGTTCCCCGCCGTGATATTGCTGGAATATTGCTAAAAGCGGCGTAAAACCATACCCACTTACTCACTCAAATTCAGAGGTAGACAAGTGCATCCGATCCACAGAATGGACCTATTGTTAGATCAAAGCTACAGTTGAGTGCGCTGAAGGCGAAAGACGCTGATCTAAACAATAGCCCTGGGTTTGAACATAAACAACACTTTGAAACATTTACAAGGGAAAGTACGAGCAAACACGGGAACATTTATTTCAAGCGACATTAATAATGACATTAATGCTGTTTAGAACAATCCCTTCAGCAACACTTGAAATCTTGTATAAACAATCAAGACAGAAGGAATCCCTCACACAAAACGGCTCCATTATCATTCAGTGAAGTGTTTCGCAGAATAATTTGGACACCTTGAGATTTCATCGCCATTGCCCATCATACAACAAATCCAATCAAGTGGAACGAGACCTTTACCCGACGGAATTCGCGTTCTGTCTGGTTGAAGAAAACAACCATTATTGTCATCTTTGTGACTAGTTCTGATATTGATTGGTTTTAGTAAAGAGAGTACAGCTTGTTCCTGAACAATTCATACTTGAAACAAGTAAGTAGAATTCTTAATGTATGATCTTAGACGAGGCCAGTTCAAGTGGGCCGGGTTCCGCCACATCAGCCATAGTATTAGAGCGCGCGTACTGTGCAGTTAAAGAGTCCTGTTGTCTGGAAACAAATGGAAACGGTTTTCCTCGTGTTTGTATTTTCATGTTACAAGGTTGTATTGACCTACTATATCGGCCCTGGTGTTAGGTATGGTCACGACAGTTTGTTTTACTCGAGGTAAATCACAAACCGAGGTGCGGGTTATACAGTCGTAATCAGCGTTTGTGTTTCCGATGTTTTTGTGTGTAGACGACTTCCGGTTGTGCCGATTTGCATTTGAAGTCATGATAATAATAATGAGGGTACGTATACCGCGCAATACTCTACGCCACAAAGGGGCATGCTCAAAGCGCGCACAAACAGCACAACATTATTACTCCAGATACAAGCTGCCCGTGAGGCGCTAGAAGGTTATAGTCACATAACTTATCCCACCGGGTACCTATTTTTCTGCTGGTGAACAGAAGCAATTTTGAACAAACTCACTTGCCTAAGGTGAGACCACATATATCACGTGTTTCGTTGTGGGGCTCAACGTTGCTTACCTTCAACTGATTTGTGACATGAGCTCTATGCAAAGCACCACATATCTGTATGCTACATGATTGCACCCCTCTTTATGAGGCAAGTCTGTTGTGTTGATTTACTCGTAGATCGATGCTCATGATGTTAATCACTGGATTGTCTGGTCAAGACTCAATTATTTACAGAGTGCCGTTATATAGTTCAGTGGCGGATCAGAGAGGGGTTCAGGGTTCGAACCCCCTGAATATGAAGATAATTTTGGGCATTGGCGGAGCCCATGGGAGTTCAGGGGGTTCGAACTCCCCTGAACCCCCTGAACCTCCTCCTTTCAAAATTCCTGGATCCGCCCATGTACTTGGAATATTGCTGAGTGCTGCGTTAAGCAACAAATAAATAAAGAAGGCAGCCCACGGCCCCATATACATGTAACATTGTTTTATCAAGTCGGTCGAAACACTGACATTCGTCAAGACCTCATTCTGCTAAAATATCTGCTTTTAAACCAGGCTCTGGCTCTGCATTTTAGAATTATTTTTTGTTTTGAAACATGTTTGATGAAGTGTGCTGATGACCAACAATATCATGCATGATCGTTCTCCCCTCTCTTGGCGATAGTTTTCTTTATGTATACGAGGCAGAAGTTCTGCATGTATTGGAAAAATAAAATCAGGGGCATATGGCCAAGATGTTTAACATTATCTTCAGGTATATCCATGATCTGATATAGTACAGTAACGGCCAAATATCCCTTCCCTCAGTTAGCCATATGGGCTTGACATGTGACATATCAGTGGAACCGTACCAGCTGTTTCATATTTAGATCTATGCAAAACGCCTCGGTTCAGAGAGCCACTGTCCATAAGACGCCTACTTTCTACTTATGTCGAGCAAGACATTCAGCAGCTCTGGTATTCGGTGTCTCCATTTACACAACTTTAAGGTACAATCGAGCATGTTCTTTCTACGAAGATTTCAATGAGCATCATACGACTCTTCCTTAACTGTTTAGATCAGGTTTACGACATTCAAGGCATAGTAAAACTCGCGTTTCAGAACGCGTTACGGTAGACGTGTGGAGGGCTTGCCACAGTTTGACGCACCATTGCCACGTGACGTTCCCTATGTTGATTTGTACCTTTTGTTCTTGTGAAGTCTTCAGGTCAACAATCAATCAGCAATACATTTAGAGTGGTGCCACCAGTAGTGAGTGAGTTTAGTTTTACGCCGCACTCAGCAATATTCCAGCTATATAGCGGCGATCTGTAGATAATCGTGTCTCGACCAGACAATCCAGTGATCAACAACATGAGCATCGATCTGCGCAAATGGGAACCGATGACATATGTCAACTAAGTCAGCGAGCCTGACCACCCGATCCCGTTAGTCACCTCTTACAACAAGTATGGGTTACTGAAGACCAATATTCTAACCCTGACCTTCACTGCCACCAGCAAGGTAGGATACGCTCACCATATCGCGATCATGGATGCGGCGTTAAACAACAAAAAACAAACAAAACAAACTTTGCTTGTGGAAAAGGTGGTGACTATTGGGGCCATGGAGTAACTATGGTAGTGATTCTTATAATGGTTGTATAAATCATCAACATGTACATCACAATGAAAGGCTATGTTCTGGTATCTGAGGTACGAAGTAGAAGACAATAAGTTCTTTTCTATTTTTAATCATGATTATTTAGTTTTTGTTTGCTTACGATTTGTACCGAAAAAGTAAATACAAAGGATGTTTGTTTTATTTCTTGTGAAATAACTTCCTTATGAAACAAAACCATTTAACACATTCTGTGTGTAAAACAGTTGGTGTGGAACCCACTAACGCAGTTTAACAAAGAAATTGTCTTGAATGAGTTCTATCAGGATGGTCTTAAAGAAACGACCATCATTAAGAAAACAAACTCAAATATTTTTCATTAACGAGATTTCTGAATACAAAACAAAAAATAAATATATAGCATTTTATGAGTAAAACGCTCCATCCGTCTGTCAGTCCTAAACCGGTGTGCAAATACTGTCGGGTATTTCCGTGTTTGTTCGGCTTCACTCGCAAATGCCACGGGTGAGGAGGAAAAGGTCATATTTATGATAGGGTATTGTTACCAATAATGCAGTAATATGATCAGCATGAGAGGAATAAAACACTGTGTTAAAACACCCATTAACCAATCAGCGTGCCATATTGTCCTCTTGTTCTCAGAGAGAGCTGTGCTATTCTTACGCGTTTTGAAAGACAATCAATATGTACGCACTGACTACAGAAGAAAAAAACACAATTACTGGTGTCTACGAAAACAACAGCGACTTCATCGTTGAGACGGTGGGAAAATAGACTGGTTTTACATCATTACGGGACAAAGGGTGCAGCGCCTTTATAATTCAAAATAACCCGATAATTCCTCACGTGGCCCTACCTTTGGGTATTTAGCGTGGTTATTTTTCCACTATTTCTTGAAAAGAATTTTACAAGGAGACCATTAATACTGAGAGTAAAATTGATAGCGAAATGAGGTGGACGTCAGTTATAGGAAGCATACATTTAACAGTGCGAA